ACTCGCGAAAAATGATTCATTATGTAGTAATACAAGAAAGAGAACGAAAAATAATCAGTAGAAGATAACGAAAGGGTCATTAAGTGCATTTATTAGAAGTGAACTATTCATAAAAATGACATCTTGCAGAAATTTCATACGAAAACTGAATCGTGCCCAATGTGTTAATCTGTTAGTAATGCAAAAGAGCATTGTTTGTTTCAGGTAATTTTTATCGACAAGGATCACAACGTTCAATTCGATCTGAAACATATTCGACTAATAGTGATGATAAAGTGGAGCAAACAAACATGCGAACATTGACGAGTATTTGTCGAAAACCATTTTTCTTGCGAGTACTTGCTCTTAATTCCCCAGAATGGTGTTCAATATTATTGGGCAGTATTACATCATTGATTTATGGAGCTGTGACTCCATCCTATGCTTTGATTTTTGCTCTTGTATTTGGTTTATTTTCTCAAGATATTGACTCAGCAGAACGTAATGCACGAAACTATGCAATCATGGTTTTTTGTATCGGTCTAGCTGGTGGTCTCTGCCAATTTATTTCGTCATATGCATTTGCTCGATCGGGAGAGGCATTAACTGTTCGAATGCGTGTTATGTCATTCGCTACGATGTTACGTCAGGAAATGGCATGGTACGATCAAGAAAACAATCAACATGGTGCTCTCGTTACACGTTTGTCGAAAGATGCAGCTGCATTGAAAGGCATGACTGGTGTTACTATCGGTGCTTTTCTAAATGCTGTTGGCACTTTAATTGCCGGTTTAATTATCAGTTTTATTGCCGGTTGGAAATTAACACTTGTCCTTCTATGTTTTACTCCGCTTATTGTACTCACCGGTTTTATGCTTGGTCAAAAAATATCAAAGGCTGGTCAAAAGAAAGTCATTTCTACTCATGCAGAACGTGGAAGTATGGTAAGTAAGGCGAAGTAAAATCACATTTTTCAGTTGCAGTCTTTATTCAAGTGATGCTATAATTCTCCTGAAGATTCTAAGTAAAGATTCATATAAATTCTGTTGATTCGAAGACTTCAGTATTTTATTCATTAAAGAAACCGCAAAGAAATACGATTTCGTCAGTATTTTCAAAGAAACATTGTAAAATATGTAATCTATTCGATACTATATAAAGTTATTTTAGATATTCTTCTACTAGATGAAAAGAACACTTTATAAGTGTATTGATAAAAAATAAACTGTTTTTCTTTTTCGTAGTATGCTGCTGAATCGTTTAAGAACATTCGTACTGTCGCCTCACTTCAAATCGAAAATCATTTTATCGAACTATATAAAGAAGCTTACAACAAAGAATTTAGGTAAGTTGATTGATGATTGTACTTATCATTTGATAATGGAAATTTCTAATGGAACAAATTTGTTACTCGAACTATTCGAGTTTGAGACTTTTCGGTCGATGTCAAGAAAACTTCCTCTTTTTGTATTCTACTACAATCAATAGAAAATAGAATACATCTAAATGTTGTCTTTTGAAGTTAAAAATTTCATTAGTCAAGGGTAACTGATCCCATTGAATAAGTCATCTTTTATCGCGAAATCATTGTAATCTTGATTAAAAAGAGATTTTAGAGTATAAATATTGCATCTTTATAGATCAACAGATTTGCTGGTATATTCAATTATTTGTATCAGTAGATGTTGAAGTCACTTGATCATAAAAGCTCGAGTTTCCATTCACTATTGTATCAATTTTTGAATGGTAATAAATTAAAACTATAGAAGTCGCGTTTAATGATAGAATAGTATTTTCTACATAAAAAAAGTAACGGAAACAAGAAGTAAACTGAATGATCCATGTTGATAAGGATTACTAAAACTTTCGTATGATTTTTATTTTTAAATATGTTTCTTACTTATATGACCAAAACAGATCGTCATTGTGGCAAAGTCAAAAAATTGTACTTGGCAATGCAATTGCCAATACACTCATGTTTTTTATTCAATTGACCGCTTTTGGTTATGGTGCTCGTTTAGTGCTTGATCAAGAAATGACTTACGTTGGAGTATTTCAGTGAGTCAATTATTATATAACAATTCTTCTTTGAATATTTTCATCTAGAGTTTTTGCTGTCATTACGTATGGCACAATAGCTTTTGGTCGAAGTGCAAGCATGGTGCCAAATTATAGTCAAGCAAAACAAGCATCGATCAAAATTATGGATCTAAACTCTCGTCAATCAATTATTGATCCAGATAAAGAAACGGAAGGAATAACTTTAGTAAGTTTCACTCTTTGTAAAAAAACCGAGAACTTTTGAGCTGAACAAATCTTATAACCATGATTTTATGTTTTACTCTTGTGTTTTTAGCACTGCACTCTCAGAACAGATGTTTTATGTAGGATTGTTGAAATCTCTTTAGTCATTTGAAAATGTAACAAAAGTTGCAAATCTTTTTTTTCATCATAAAGTTTTCAAGACTCTTCCCTCAAGGTTTCTGATCAATTTAAAAATCGAACGTTTCTTTGCTATTCGTAAAATTGCCTCAGTACCCACAATAAATGACGGAATAGGAAAAAAGGAACTATTAACAATGTCTTTTTAAGAAAAAAGTAGGTGGTACATTGGAATTTCGTGATGTTTCTTTCAAATATCCGTCGCGCAAAGGACGCGTATTAAAAAACTTGTCCTTCACATGTGGACAAGGTGAAGCAACAGCAATTGTTGGTCCGAGTGGATCGGGTAAATCGTCGTGCATTGCTTTACTGGAACGTTTCTATGATCCTCAACAAGGAGCAGTTCTACTTGACGGGCACGATTTACGCACACTCAACGTTAAATGGCTTCGTTCAATCATTGGTCTTGTACAACAAGAACCTGTTCTATTCAATCTTTCGATTCGTGATAACATTGCTTATGGAGATACAACGCGAACGTTTACAGATGCTGAAATTAATGAAGCTGCTCGACTGGCTGATATTCACCACACTATTATCGGATTGGCACAGGTTAGTCTTCTTCTTTAGTAGAATATAAATATTGAACACATTTTTCTACCATTAAACAACTTTTTGTAGAGCTCGAAAACAATTAGATGTTATAGTCTCAACAGTAAAGCTTTGCAACTGCAGATTGTTATATATTCAAAGACAACACTAAACTGTTTGCTTTTTCGTTATATATAATATAATATTTAACAGAGTTGTTGAAAACACAATTGAGTACATTTTGTGTACATGCATTGGTGTTGAATTAAAATTCAATGTTAAATGCACTTTTAGAACGATGATCATTAGTATGCTATCAAACACGAACGAAAAAACTATGCTTATTACAGTTGCTTGCGATTTTGTTTTGAAAGCAAGAGTTTTAATCTATTCGAAAAAAAATAATTGGATATTTGACTTCAAATGTAAAGTACAAATAATGATCATAAAAGTAATTTAATATTTGGAATTCTATTTTAGCAGAGAAAACCAGTTACAAATATTAATATTATGTAATTATTTTCATGAATTATTTTTGTGGAGTCTCTAAAAAAAGGAAAAATACAAAACTAAAAAAGTTGATGATTCTTTCAAGATATATATATCGTAGGACAGATTGAAATCCAGTTCAGTTTTAAATCGAACTAGGACAGATTGAAACTTTAATTTATCCTAGTTTAGATCAAAATTCTGAAGTCAACTAGTTGATTTTGAAATGTATTTTAATGTGAACTAGTTGACTTCAAGATTTTGATCTGAACTAGGATAAATTAAAATATTTTAAACTGAACTAGGACAGCTTGAAATATTTTGATCTAAACCAGGACAGATTACAATATTTTGATTTGAACTAGTTCGGATTGAAATATAGACACTTGAATGGACGGTTGATGAGGGTGAGAGCGAGCGCGAGGACGCGGATAACAGTTCCATCTTCACTCATTCTCATTCACCATACACTCTCGTCCTCATCCCGACACGTATATTCAACCAGACAGCCACGAATAATTTGGCTAAAAATTTTAATGTGTCCTAGTTCAGATCAAAATTTTGAAGTTAACTAGTTGAGATTAAAATGTATTTCAAAATCAACTAGTTGACTTCGAAATTTTAATCTAAACTAGAAATAATTAAAATTTCAATCTCTCCTAGTTCGATTTAAAACTGAACTGGATTTTAATTTGTCCTGCGACATATATTATCGTTTTTTTCATAAAAATAAAGTAGAAACTATGAGAATTTTGCGTTGAGAACATAACACGACTTCTAGTTTTGTATTTTAATATTGCAATCATACAAAAAATAAACTAGAATGAACGTTATTCATATTTAGGGGTACAACACGATATGTGGTACTAGTAGTCAAGTTCAGTTGGCAGGTGGTCAAAAACAACGAATTGCTATTGCACGATTGCTTGTTCGACAACCTAAAATAGTTCTTTTCGATGAAGCAACCTCTGCATTGAATACCGCAGTTGAAGAGGTACTCTCATCTTTACTTAATGTGACAAAAGGGAACTTTTTTCAATCTTCTTTAGAATATTCTGCGTGAACTTGATCGAGCACGAAGAGATCGAACTTGTGTTACAGTGGCTCATCGGCTTTCGACCATCCGAAATAGTGACAAGATAGTTGTGTTAGTACATGGACGACTTAACGAGCAAGGAACTGACACAGAACTTTCTGCCAATTCAAATGGTACTTATTCTCAGTTGCTTAGAGCAGCTGGACTTGATACAACTACTAAAAGAGATACGGATGATTCTGAAACTAAAGTGGAACACTTTTAACTCTTTCTATTTTGTATATGCAGTGTCTTTTTTTGTATAAACGAATCATTTCATTGTACATATTTTCATAAAACTAATTTAACTTTTTTTTTGCCTGCTCCTTGTTATTTTGCCTTATGGAACAAATCGAAAATTACTTTATTTAATACAATTATGTTCAACACTACGCCCAAACTATATTATTGGCTAGTTTATAGTGGACCTATATGTTTGAGTCTCGATAATTAGCTATTGGAAGCAATATTGATTAATTATGCTTAGACTCAGTTCAAGAAATATTTTATCAGCGGAGGCCATTCGTAGCATTACCTTCTAATGACAAACTTAATTTCTATTTAAACCACATTTGAATTTCTCACTTCGTAACAGAGATACACAGTTGAAAGCCAGGCAGACATATATGAAAGAATTATTTTCCAGAATCTACTTGTTTGAATGATCACATATATATGTGATCTATCATTTTTTAAAGATTACTTCTCATGGTATTACAAAGTCTCGGGAAAAGGCATGCAAAAGTTTAGGTCCACAAATTTACATAAATAAAGGTGTGAGTGTTGGTGTAGTGAATTAGTCATATCCGCACCCACACTCACACCCTCTGTCGTTTCACTTACTTTTTATAGAATTTTGTATTTCAAATAAAATAAGCAAAATAGCCCCGTGGGTAACAGGTTAGGCTTCCTGCTTTAGAGTTTTAAGTTCGAATCTCGGAGAAAGCGGACGTAAAAGGACTGAAAGAACGGTAGAGAACGGAGTTTAAGATAGTAGGAATGAGTCTATAGCAGTTCGGATGAGAGAATGAAAGAGAACGAGTGCCAGAAAAGGTAGAATATATGTTTGTCATTTCTCTTATGATCATGGTTGCGAATACTTCCTTCAAGAAGTAAAATCGGTTCTTGATTATTCAAAATAGGAACGGCAAAGAACGCGTTCCAAACAATTAAAACATCTTTGTTTAAGAAAAAACAACGTTCTAAAGGATGTGGAACCCATTTCACTTTCTATAGAATGTTTTTTTCTTAAGAAAAAGCTTTCGCTTTATTCCATGAACAATTTTCGTTGAACCGGTTAAATTATTTCTTTCATACTTGATATTATTTTACTCAAACTTCTATTAATTCTTTAATTTTTGTCGATCTTTACTTATTGTGCCGTTAATCACATTTTATATTAATTACATGTCGTGTCTATTTCACCTTGATTTTTACTTCATCTATTATTGAATTTTATTTTCATTTTCTTTTGTACCTTGTTCTTGTTTAATGTAGAGCCTTGATAGATGCTCAAATTAATATAAATAACACGAAAATATCTCGGTCAATTAACTATGTAATCTTCTTTGCTCATTATGGTCAAGAATTTGCTTAAGACAAAAATTAATTTTATTTTGACAAAAAAATGATTGAGAGAAGGCAAAAGCTGAGATTAGAATGTTAATTTTCATGTTTAATATGAAGATCATTTGTAATTTCGATTGATACCATTCACTTCGTACTACAGTCTGATGTATCATTGGCATCTATAGTGGCAGCCCATCGGTATCCATAAAGAGATGGCTTTTCATTTCGCAATGTCATCTGTTCTGTCTGATGAACAACGACGACGGGCAGCTCCGTAAAGACATGTTGGAAATTCAAGAGACCAAGAGCGGTGCATTGCCCTTTGTAACATTGGGCCTCATCTACTGTTCGACGGTAGATCGTGGCAGCCTCATGACCGAGAGTCGATTCAACAATCGTCTGGATTACATCAAATTCAGTCTCATTGCCAGGTAGATCGAACGGATATTGGTCGTGAGCGCCGAAGAAGTGCATGATGGCCTGAGAAAAATTGATTTTCTGGAATTCATTCGTGACAAAATCCTCATGCTCAGGACATGAATCAGTATGGGGTGCGGACTGATTGTTATTGCCCATCCGAAGGTAGAAGTCGGCCATGCTACCATCAATGGAGTTTGATATGAGAACAACATGAGGTTGACGCGCCCAATCTTGAGTAAGAATAGAGTTCAGAGGAATTAAAGTAAGATGAAACCAATCGGCACCGCCAAATTCGACGAGCTTAGAGTTGTCTTGACGAATAGCTTTAATTTTGGAATGAACTGCGTCAGAATTAATTGAGACGCGGTAGAATGTGTTGTGATAGCCTAGTAAAAGACACAAGGAATACAAATGTCAAAGCATACGATATCAGATGGATAATATATAACACTCAAACTCTTTTATGAAACGAGTATTCGAGACAAATTTACTTTAGGCATGACAAGAAACGGATAAGTTCAAAAGAGTATCTGATTCTTAGTGTTTATGGCGTACTATCCATTTCAAAATAAAATGCAGACGGTTGTATTCTGAATAACTCCGGAATGTGACAAGCTAACGAGTTTCGATTCTCACCATTAGAAAGAGGACATATGGGGTCATTCAGACATACAAGAATCATTACGTATACCAAGATCTTTGTGGAATTTCTAGAAGATCTCTTAAAAACTACCCTCACGCAAATGAGGAATTTTGATCCTTACAGATAGATCCCAGCCGTCTTACTGTCCTCTACAAAATCGCGTAAACTCCACATTTTTCCGAGCTCGTATCAGGCGCTAGTCGCCGCACTCGTGTACTTTCATAAAGCACTTTTCATATGGGTGTGATGGTCAAAACATATGGAAGCATAAGTTTTCGATCATGCTGAACATCGTGACATAGTTTATTTTCTTCTTTAAATCTATTCAACCGCAACAGGCAAAGATCACCACAATGTTCAGTTTTTTAGTTTACCTGCCTATTGGTGTGATGATCACAATTCAGTCATTTCTTAGCCGATAAAGCTGATACTCTTAGGAAAGGCTCGGAAGCCAATCTTTTGGATAAGGCAAATTTTAAAAAATATCGAATGTTCTTCCTACAAAATATTTGGATTTTTAGAAACTCTCAGAAAACCTGCCCAGTTTCGGGGTTTCCAACTCTTTTTCTGACATTGCAGTTGTTCAGAAGAATGTTTTTCAAGTCTTTCCTGAAAGTATCAGGTCTATCGGCTAAGAAATGACTGAATTGTGATCATCGTCCCAATAGACAGGTAAACTAAAAAAAACTGAACATTGCGGTGATCTTTGTCTGTTGCGGTTGAATAGACTTAAAGAAGAAAATAAACTATGTCACGATGTTCAGCATGATCGAAAACTTATGCTTCCATATGTTCTGACCAGCGCCTCACACGAGCTTGGAAAAATGTGCAGATTACGCGATTTTGTAGAGGACAGTATGAAGGCTGGTATCTGTATATAAGGATCGAAATTCCTCATTTGTGTGGTGGTGGCTTTTCAGAGATTTTTTGAAAATTCCACAAAGATCTTAACATGTCTAATGATTCTTGTACGTCTGAATACCTCCAGATATCCTCTTTCTAATGATGAAAATCGAAACTAGCTAGCTTCTCACATTCCTGAGTTATTCAGAATACAACCGAGTGCATTCTATTTTGAAATGAATAACACTAGAAATTAGAATAGGTGAGTAAGAAGATTATTAGATCTGTATGAGTCGACCTTTTTTTGTACTCTACTCAGAATAATTTTAGAAAAATCCACAGCCTTTCTTGATTCAACTACCTGGTGGCGAGAAAAGTCTGTCATAGTCTCAAATTCGAAACTAGTCTGATTTTTTTCGGCCATTATAAACTGGATTTTATTCTTTGAATCTGTCTTTCAAAGGGATTCGTACTAGCATAGACAAGCTGAACTGAAAATAAGCAAAGATCGGAAGTCCTTCTAAGCTCTACACAGTATCATTGTAATGACACGTTTCAGCAGATATTGCAAGAAAAGTATTAGTATCTGTGAAAAGAATGGAACTGAAGACGTACCGTGACCGCAGAAACGACGGACAATAAGAAAAAGTGGAGTCCGTTTGACTAACCACTCAAAGCGTATGACCAGGATAGATGAATATGCGGACGTGCAATGGAGTTGACGCGTTGAGATCCGAACACTGCTTTTGAGAAGCCTGTAAACATACACAAATGGACATAAACCGTCCAAAGGTGAAAAACATACTTTTGAATGGACTCTCCGAGACCCATTTCAAGAGACAACGTGATCAACCAATCACAAGTAAGTTGTGATATATATACTTGCATATGTTCTATCTCGCGAACGAGTGCTGTACGAGTGGGCCGTTCGTCGCATGCGATGAAATTTGATAAGAGATCATCTTCGATGAGATTAAGACCATCAAGCTGTCGCTCGGTCAGAGAAGCAGCAAATAGAGGATCAAGACGGCTACGAATGCGGATGGCGCCAGGTTCAAGGACGGCTGTCTTTTGGAGTGATAAAATGCGGCAATAGGATAAAAATCGAGCTAACATCCGATAGTCGGACAAGTTCCATTTGTCGACATTGGCTGTTCGACGACGTTCCCGTTTATTCAGGCGGGTACCGGATGGCTTCCCACCTTTACTGTCTGAATAGCAGGTGATGCTATGATTGGAAGTTGTAGAGACAGTAAGTTTCTCATCTGAATCAATTTTAGATGAATAATCATCAAGTATTGTGAACAAAGGTTTGCACCCGATACGGTCAAAAATATTGACGAGTGGAATCGATGAAGAGAAACCTAGTAACTGATTATCAGCCTTTAGCCGACGAATATCACAATACATAGTAACAATTTTATTCTTAATATCTCGAAGTATTTGGACGACGTTGCCGATCCATTCACGATTTTTCGCTTCGCGATAGTGTTCTGTAAGACTCCAGAGCATCTGGGCTCGTAGTTGGCAACCACAATCACCGATATGACCATCGAACTCAGCCAACATGTCTTCCGTTCTGCTTATGTCGCCGGAATAAATTGAGTCAAATCGAACGAGTGCAACATCCAAATCGTGAACACCATAAAGCAATCTGATGAGTGTCTTGGAGAGGTCGCCCTGCTTGATTTTTTTGTCATCTGAACTGAGAAGGATGCTTACCATTTTGATTAATGCGCTAGAGAGTAGAGCAAGTGATAGTTTGAATATCTAAAGAAAAACGGAACATTAGCGTGATAATCATAATCCATCGTCGTATAGAACAAAACTACTTTCTTCAGAGTGATCTATAAGTAATTCGACAATAAACAACTTTGGAAAATCTCTAGTGTTGAAGTCAAACGAGACGATTTTTTTTTATGATGAAGGAGAATCCAAAGTTTTTATTCATAAGAAGAACATCAATAAATATTGTTTTGAACTACTAGAATCGGTCTCAACACAGAACTTAGAAGTTTCACAGGTTCTGATAGACAGTACATACGTAAATGATAATTTTAATAGTAAGACGTTTCAAATTACGTAAAACAATATAGAAACTGACGGTAAGAACAATCATGTATACTTAGAAGGAAAGCATAATCTACTTGAATATGACGCTGTGAATTGCTTAGAGCTTACTCCATCAAAAGAATATTCTGTACATAGTGAACATAATAAATTTTCAAAAATCTTAAAATGTTCAAATTTCTACTGAAGTCATTAGTGATAGTTGATAGCAGTATTCATCGACGTTTTCCTTATAAATAGAAACTTTGAACTCTTAACTATCATCAAAAAAATCTATCCCTTTTGACTTCGAGAGAGTAGAAATATTCAAAATTTATTATCATCAAGTTAACCATGGGCCGCCCTATACAGTAATTTACAAAAGCCCTGATGCAACCTAAACTGTTATGAGATCTTCATCAATGTGGGTCATATTTTCATCACAAGAGTAGCTCAGTAGTTCTCGATTGGTGTGGGTGTGAGTGTGGATATGGGTGCTTGATGTAAAAGCTACCCATACCCAACTGTTACAGATTTATCAATTTTCTGGATTTAGGCTGTTCGAATTTTCGCTTTTTCTGATTTTGACTTTCACTCTTTCTCAAGCTTACCCTCAAAATCCAATTAATCGCAAAATCAAAAACTAAAAAACCCAAAAAGTCGTAACAGCTCTTCGAGCTCCACATTTATGAGAATTTGTTTTAAATTCTCTCTGTCATTTTCTCGGCTAATAGCTGAAAGTTATCTACAGAATGCTTCACATGTGCTTTTCTTATTTGACAACATGTAAAATTTCTTTCATAATGCCAATCTTAACACTTAACAGTAATATCTACTTACATTATTTGTATGCAAAAGAAACTTGAGTGAAGTTATACCAACAACCAAAAAATTATTCCATTTGAACGAACAGAAGTGAAGATATTTAAATTTCTTATCGAAGTGCTATTTATGAACCAGCCTATATATATAGAGAGAGAGAACAAGGAACCATCAGTTAGAAGTGACTCCCCATGAGTCATTTAATGAAAAGATTTTTGGATTTTCTTTCTTTTTTTTCGTACTGTAAACTGTCACAATGCGTCATTTCCTCCCAATATTTTAAATTGCGTTTTCAAGCGAAAAATTCGTTAACTGTCTTTATTTTATGTGACAGCATCATGACTTTGGCGTTCATATTCTTGCTGCGTCATTTATGCCAAATATCTTTTTCTTCATATCTTTCACCGTGATGTGATGCTAGACGTAATATTGCTGCCTTACACTTTCAACAGAACGAACAAAAATAGATCGAAAAGGAAGCAATGCACATATCTATTTATAGAAGGTAAACTAAAGGACGTTTATTTTCGTCGTAAATTGAAAAAAAAGGAAGTGATGGATGATGACTTAAAATATCTCAAATTTTCTCTCTCTACATTTCTCTCTTTCGAGAGAGAGAGACAATAGAGAGACGAACTCCGCTTAAATACCTGATTTTTCTCACTATATTTCAAATTAAAAATTAAATGATCTGTTTGATTGCATGATGACTGAGACAAGCGGTACGTTTCTGTTGTACGCAATAATTTTTATAAACAAGTGACTTGTATCCTTATTTTGCAGAAACACAGTTGGAACTGTCGTCGGCAATTGCTAAACCTAATCACTTGTCCACATCTGATACTCATTTGAAATTTCTTGATAAAAACAAGATGTTATTGTCGTTGGCAATAATGAAAGCTTGGTTTTTAAGGTTGACTTTTAATACTCCCTTACATTTTTCAATCAATTCACACGCTCAAACCAGCATAATCTATTTCTTCTTGTGAGATTTTCCAACGATGATTGTCCTATTAATTGTAGGATTTTTTCATCCGATGCTATGCCACTCAAATTAACTCCAGTGATAGGACACAAGCATCTCATATATAATATGTTTAATTACCATTCTGGATTCATCCTTAAAATCCATGCTTTGCTACCGTATACCAGCGATTTTTAGCTTGAATCATATTTTTGTGATCATCACTCCAAACTGTGTAAGATTGGTTGAAAGTTAGGTCGTTATTTTAAATTAAGTTTTTACGAATTATCCGTGGCCACGCCCCTCTCGTCTGATAGGTCTGAATGGATCCAAAAGTGGTTTTTCCTTCTCGAGAACTTTGATATCGATGCTTTCAACGATAGTGCCCTAATTATTGGGGCGCCGGATTTGACCTCATATATGGCAGCGTCCCTTCTCATGTATAAAGTCCGCCCAATACAAAAAAGTTCGCGAAACATACTGGATTGTTAAAGCTCTTCCTCCCTCAAAGTTCGATCTGAGTCGAGGAAAATTTAAATTGCATGAAATTTTCAGTTCTGTATCATGACATTTGATGGAGATATTGGACAAATAAGCGTGAAAAAATAGCTAATTCTGTATCCGAAATTTCTCTGTAGGATGTGGGTAACGGCAGAAGATATACTAACATCCACATAAATACCCACACTAGCACCTATACTAACATTCAAACCCACATTCACATCCACTACACTTCCACTTCCACTGACATCCACACCGACATTCACACCCAAATAGATATGACATTTAGAAATTTGACTTTTCATGACAAGAAGACAGGCTTTTGTCATTATGCGCTTTTTTCTGATCGAAAACCTATGCAACAGATGAAGAATAAAAATTATCATTTCCTAAATAATACATGAAATTCTTTCGCTCTAGATTATTGATCATGTTTAGTATTGGAGCTGTTCTTTTGGGAACAGATCTTTTTGGTTTGATGATAAAAATACTTCTTGTTGTTCTCGTCATTATTATTGGTCTCTTTCTTCGGTGGCGTTTGATTAGATCAGGTAATTGGTCTGGAGTTGTAGGTACTAACTTTCGTTTTCCGTTTGGCGACTGGCGTACTATATTGACAAGTAAAGATGGACTTCACTTATTGCACTTGTGTGAAAAGCTTGGTAATCCGTATGTTTATCGGATTTGGATGGGTCCTCAGCCAGCACTAGTACTTGCTCATCCAGATGCTGTTCGTGAATTTTGGCAATATCATGATGAAACAAAAATTGAACGCGAAGTGAAATTAAGTTGGGCACTCTTAGATATCATGGGCCAAGCAATCGGTTTCAAACCGTATCGAGCTCGCAATCGTATTAGCAAATTCTTTCATTTTTGTTTTGGGCCTAAAAATATCAATCGATTTCATATGAAAATAGAAAATGCTATCACTGAATTTATGATTCGATTGCGTTATCTTACTAATAATGATACACTAGTGGACATTCGCAAGGAACTCAGTTATTTAGGACATGATGCTAGTACTTACATATATCTTGGTCAAAAAAGTTCTCGATATCTCAATATACTTCATGAACTAGTCAATGAAATGAATCATCTCATGACTTTGGCATGTTGTTCTATTTGGATCAATGTTGTCGGGTTACGATGGATTTTACCTCAAGCATACAAATTACGCTTAAAAACTGCCTCTTTTCGACACAAATGGAAAAGTTTACTCCGGACACTAATGTCAGAATATAAAGAAGAGCTAAAAACTAATAAAAACGATAACGAACACATAAATGATTCGATGCTTACACGATTTATACAAATGGAAGCTGAAGGTAAATCTGATGTGACTTTTGAAGAATTGATGGATACATTCACTGAGAGTCTTTTCTTTCCTTCTGACGTCGTTGCTGCCACGACTGCTTATACACTCATTTTACTTGCCATGAATCAAGATGTGCAGTCATTCACTCGAGAACTTCTGTGCAATCAACTGATCGATCGATCAACAGTGACATTAGATGATATTAATTCGATTGAGTATCTTGATTGGATTTTAAGTGAATGTCAACGAATATTTCCTGTACAAATGTTGAATACACCAGAATTCACTAGTCAAGTAATGACTATTGCTGGTATAACTGTTCCAAAAAACACTATGGTCATTTATGATACTCATTCAATGCATCGCAGAGATGACATTTGGGATGAACCACTTGTCTTTCGACCTGAACGCTTTCGCCATTTAAATGCCAAGCAACGCAAAGCTATTCATGCTTTTGGTAATGGACGAACTCGTCGCTGTCTTGGTGAATACTTTGTCAAATCTCTACACAAGTTACTAATTGCTCGTATTGTGCTTGATTATCGAGTTCAAACAATCGATAGCAATCAAAAAATTGACGAGATTCCTCGAAAACAAATTCCGTTGGCTTATGCACCTGATATTTGCCTCCAATTTGTGCCTCTATAAAAACAGTTGATTTCAAGATAACAATTCAACCCAAGAAAATTTCTAAAAGTCGCCGATTAATCTCAATTTCCTGCACTTATGTCCTTTCGATTAATCATCGATTATTGCGATTTTCTTGTCGTAGAGAAACAATATAAACTGTACAGTTCGGTATGAGTGTTGGTGGGATTTGAATGCGACGTGTGAGTGTGCAGTGTGAGTTTCTGAGACAATTAAGAAAACACCCACACCCATACCCTGCATGGTGCTTGTTGTACACTAGAATTCTTTTTTTATTGATTCAAATATAAATTCTAATTT